CGCCTGCCGCCACGTCTCCGCCAAAAGGGCTTTTCTCCGGTAACTCGGCTCTTCGGGAAGGGTCAGCTCGTTGGGCAGGAGGGGATGGGGGGCCTCTTCAGCCCCCAGGGACGCCTTTCGCTGGGGGAAGGAGCAGGTCGCTGTCCAGCTCTTGCTGGGAGCAGACGTGCATCCGCGGCAGCCGTTCTCAGGCAGGCTGAAATTTCGGGGCAGGGTGCTGAATTTGGGCTGCTTGGCTTTCCGGTGGATGTGCACCCGTCTGATGGTGTTCCCTTTCTCGATGTCATCCACATACTTCAGGAAGTCCAGGTCCAAGTGAAAGCCATACGGCGTCTCCAGGGAGTAGGGGAGGCTGCGGGGCTGCTCCCTCTCCCCATCGGGTTTGGTTGGCTGGCTGGCTGCTGAAACCACCCAAAAAAAGAGAAAAATATATTTTTAAAAATTGAATTTTGAAGACACCACTAACCAAAAAAAAAATGTTTAGAGCAGGGGAAAAATGTTTTTGCCTTTTTTTTTTTTTTTTATCATCTCTGTTTCAGGCAGGTTCATGGTGAAGCTGCAGAGATGCAGGGACACGTGCAAAGGTCCGATCTGGTTTTGTGGAGGTGAATCAGATAATTGTTGCACTAAAGAAGCTGAAAATTTGCTCTAATTGGCAATTAGGCAAAGAGCAGGCTTTGCAGGTAGAGCTACATGTCTGTCTAAGTATAAAAAGCTGCCTGATGGACAATAAATCCATCTCAAACCCAGAAGGTGGAACCAATCTGTGACAAATTTTTCACGGCTTTTGGTTTTAACTTTTCAGAGGTGTCAGTAGTGCCGTGCACACTGAGCAGGAAAATCATTGGAGAGCTTCATCAGCAAACACCAGGTCACTAATTATTCCTGGGAAATGAGCAATACAGCAGTGGGCAGAGGCTGGAGCAAGACAGCGCCAGCCGGGGCTGCATCTCACAGCTGCATCCATGTGAAACACCTCCCAAGGTGACCGGCTCTGGGTTAGGAACAGCGCGTCTGCCCACACAGCACAGGCGAAGGGCTCGGCTCCAGCAGCGCCGCCACAGGTTCCTGCTTGATACAGCTTCGTTCCGACAGACACAGCCTGCACAAAGTCACAGCCCCCACATTTCTTCCTTGAGGGTGTAAACAGTTAGACCTCTGCATCACTGCTTGTGTTTCTTTATGTGGCAAGTCCCTGAAATCGTGGAATCACAGAATGCCAGACTGGTATGGGTTGGAAAGGACCTTCAAGATCATCTAGTTCCAACCCCCTGCATGGGCAGGGACACCTCCCACCAGACCAGGTTGCTCCAAGCCTCATCCAACCTGCCCTTCAACACTGCCAGGGATGGGGCAGCCACAGCTTCCCTGGGCAGCCTGGGCCAGGGTCTCACCACCCTCACAGTGAAGAATGTCTAATCTCAGTCTATTCAATCTCAATCTATTCTATTTCAGTTTGAAACTGTCCCACCTCATCCCATCACTCTGGATACTGGAAGGTGCTCTAAGGTCTCCTTGGAGTCTTTTCTCCAGGCTGAACAACCCCAACTCTCAACCAGTCTCCAGAGCAGAGCTGCTCCAGCCCTCTGAGCATTTTTGTGACCTTCTCTGGACTTGTTCCAACAACTCCATGTCCTTCTTGTGTTGAGGGCACAGCACTGCAGGGGTGGTCTCACCAGAGCAGAGTGGAAGTCCACCCACTAACCCAGCACGCTGCAAAAACCACTGCTAACCCCTGTCCCTGATCAGGGTGGCTTGGGCTGCTGTGCACCCCTGAGTAAACCAGCCATGCTCTGAGGGCAAGGAGAAGCTGCTCACTCTCCATCCTGGCACAGCAGCTGCACAGGGACTGGGAGACCTCAGCACAGCTTTCGATCCCTCTCATCACAGCATCACCAAGACACAACTGCCTTGGTGCTAGGAAGCAGCATGTGAGAGTCAGAGAAATGACAGGAAGGAGAACATCACGTAGGGTTAACACAGCACAAGAGCAAGGCCCAGCTGGTGCGAGATCAGGGATCTGTCCTGCCAAAGCACCACAGAGAACAGGAGGACAACTAGGAGCTGTGATCACATTTTTGCTGTGGTTTAGGAAGTCTGCATAATACACGAATGATGCACTTTTCACCTGGCCCTAGCAGGTATCTATAGGAAACTGGTCATTTACAGTATTTCTGGTAAGGAAATTTCTGGTTTGGGTTTGTTGTTTTTTTATCAAGAAATGAGCAAACAAACATCCCATAGCCCCCATACCGTCTGTCTTCTCCATGATGCAGTCTAGTGGGGCTATCAGTTCAACATCCTCTGAGAAGCTAGGGCAGACAAGTTGCTTCACCCTTGAAAAAAAGAAACAGATCCTTTTAAATTAAAGACAACAAGTTCAATAATTTGAACTTAATCTCTCCTTAAAGCCTTCCACCTCTTCACTGGCCAACCCCCTCTTATTTCCCATATTCTGCAGCCCAACTGTGTCTGCTAAGCACTTTCAAGCTGCTCAGATCAATAACTCCTTTTCCTGTAGTGGCAACTTGTTTGCAGACACATCCTGGGTAGTTGGTTCTCACAAAACATCCCCTGCATTACAGATGGTTTTGACTGCAAAAGCAAAAGGAGGGATGTTTAGGAGAACCCCCTGCTGGGTTCGAGATGGATGGCACAGGGACTCTTCATTGATTCTTGTAAGCTGATACAGCCAACATAATGTAACACCTCTGCTAACTGCAAGTGATATAAACTGTACACAGGAATAACTGCCTTCTCACTTTTCCTTTTTTTTTTTTTCCCCTCTTCTTTTTTTTTAATCCATAACAAGCAAAGATTCAAAATTTAGGTTAAATCTTGTCCAAACTAAACCCATTATTTCCAGCACATCCATCCTGTTATAAAGAAACTTCACCAAGTGGCTTTTCTATCCTGGAAGATCTTAACGTGGAGATCTACATTGCCTACATCCTGAACTTCACATCCAGCCTGGTCTGTGTTGCCCTCCAGCTCTTCCCCATCCTGTGGACATGGGTGAGACCTTCCTGGGGTGCAAGAAGAGATTAAGGCTGGCAACAACCCAGGAAAGTCATGGGTGGAGCTTCTCTCCTCCATGCCCTTTTAGCAAGATGTAGGAAGGAGGCTGGCAAAGGCCAAGGAGGTTGAGGCGGTTGGACATCACCACTAGAGGCTTCCTGACCTGCATGAGAAGGGCAACATTGCTGAGAGTGAGAAGGTCTGTCTTTTAATTCCCGCTACAAGGGGAAAAGTAGGAGTTTCTTGTTGAGTAGATTGCTTGTTTAGGATTTTCCTTCAAGTATCTAATTTGGATTCTGGCAGAGATGGTCCAACAGCAGTTTATCTGGCAAGAGATCTGGATATCCTGTATAAATTAGGATATACAGAGTGTAAAGGTGCTGCTGCTGTTCTCCTCTAGAAGCACTGACATGCCATGGCTTAACCACAACCAAAACCAGCGGGAAAACAAAGCCAAATCCTGCTGTATTGTTACCATGGGACAGATTCTTTGACAGACCAAAGCCTTTCAAGAAGCAATTAGTTTTGCCATTCAGGTAGACAAGTTTATTGTCAACGTAGAGCCCTGATAGAAAGGTAGGAGGGTCCTAACCCAAGAAGATGATAACAACTCTCAAAAGCATCTTCTGAAACACCCTAACCCGTGGCTTCCTTGTGCTCTCCAATTAACCACACTTTTTCCATAAAGGGCAAGTTCTGCTTTCTCCTCCTGCCAATAAACAGCACGTGCCAAAATGAACACTAACTGCTTTCTCCAATGTGTTTTTTTTACATTTTTCCAATTACAATCAATTATGGATCACTTACAGATCCCAACTACAGTCTGACCAGCCATGCTTTGCTCTTCTAGAATGTTTATTTAGAGGGAAGAGGGGGGAAAGCCAGTAAAGAGGACACTTTTTAATGTCTATATAATTGCATCAGATCAGCTCATTAATGAGCTGGCTGCATCCCAACTCCGCAGCACAAATTGATACTAGGACTTCTCTCTTTTGACCAATCTGCTTCAAAATTACCTCATAAAAGGACACTGAATGTACCCTGCCATCTTTTTGATGTTCTCCCATTCCCCCGGGGCAGCTCAGGCTTGGGGTGGATGGCTTTGAGCCAAACCCACAGCTCCTTGGACCCCAAGGGTGTTGTCCAGTGCCTGTTCCTAATAAAAATGAGAATAAAAGCCTGAACTGATCTGCCAGAAAAAGCATAACCATGTGCCCAGGGAGCAGCCCTCCATTTGGGCAGGGTAGTACTTTTTGGTGGGTCTTCATCCTGCTCATACTTGTTACATTGACCTTCTGTCAGGTTTTATATTTGTTGAGCTTTCCTCTATTGACTAAAATTAAAGAATACTTATTTTCCTCTCCAGGGAGGTGACATTGCCACAGCACAGCTCATTTTTACCTTGAATGAAATGACATTGCTCTTCTCAAGGTAGGAATTAATGTATACAGGAATGGAAATCAAGAAGCAAACTGCAAGGCAACAGCACAGAGCTAAGTGGTTTTATTCCCTGGGGCAGCCCATTTGCAGGGACAATGTACTGTCTTTTTAACTCTGCCTCAAACACTGGCTCTCTACAGGCACATTTAACCCTTCTTTTACTCTGTCCCACTTGCAGGACGCTCCCCCATCCACCCAGCCAGCAGAAAGGAGAGCAGCATTACACCCCAGAAGACTTAAAGAACAAATTAACTCAACCACAAAGACAAATGTATGAATTTCATTCTCCAAGAGCACCTTGTGAGTAATTATAAATTTAAAAGACTTTACCCTGTGCCTAAAAATGAGAAGATAATTCATCCCTGCTGAGCAGCATGTTAGCACAGTCTCATTAGCTACAGCACAACGTTTTTTTTAAGCTCTGCCTGTCGTGTTCTCCTGCACTGCAGCAACGGCTTTAGCACTTTGTGGTGAAAGGCAAAACTATCCTTTGAAAAGCACCTTGTCACGTTACTTCTTGTGCTCCTACCTACAAACGCATCGAGGAGCAGAAGCTCTTGCCTCCCTCAAAAGCATATTTTCCCATGCTGGGAGTCAGTCGCAAAGGGTTTGGAACAGCTAATGTACCTTTTCCAGCTGTTAAAAAGTTAGGTCAGCTGAGCAGTGACCTTGCTTGGAAAGCAAATACAAGTTTAACACAAGACACACAAAAGGGGGATTAATTTTCTAACAAAGCAGCCCATCGATCTCCTATGACCCTTCTGAGGACAGTTCAAGCCCTCTCTATAAAAAGAGTTACTTTTCACAGCGCAGTTATCTTCTCCATAAAACACAAAACGCCAAATGCTGCCCTGGCTATCACCGGACTGCCTCCCTTATCAGGAAAGATAACTGAAAAGACAGACAACTATTAACGAGACGGTTCTTATTGTACCTGATGCTGCAGGCTGCAGCCGGAGCTCCCTCTCCGCATGCTGCACCTCCGGGCTGAAGGCATTAGCGATTCTGCTGAGCGCTTCTCCCGCGGAAACGCCAGCGGCTGCCGCGATTAAAAAGCGGCATCTTCCCGGGGAGCCGCAGA